CTGCGGTATATTAATGTAATACCTCTGTGGTGGTCTTTCATCAGAGCCTCACAATGAGTGCACTACGTGAAGCAATTTCACTGGCTAGAATGATCAAAACAATTTTAGGCCTGGACACAGGAGTGCTGGAACCTGGCATGGTCAAATAATTGCACATTTTGTGGTACTCATTGAGGTTCACAGGAAGCTGGAAATGTGCTAATCTACAAATCTCCAGAAGGGCCTCTCATGTTCACATCTGTGCTTCAGTTTTCTCCCACAGTCCAAAGCTACACTGGTAGGTTAAGTGGATTCTGGGGGACTTGGCCCTTGGTTTGAGTGTCTGTTTGTCACAGAAAATGTCTCTGGACAGAAAATGGATAGATTACTATTATGTAATAATAGGATCAGGGAACATATACTCCTTAACATGTAATGTGTGTTAATACAGAAGCCATATTCGGAAGACTTTATTAAATACACTTAACTGACCCAGGAGGCGTCACAAGTCACCTCACCAGGGGGCACTGGTTTTCCCCAGAATTGCTAGGAATTTGTTCTATGGAATTTATAAGCAGGCTGTACCTGAAAGTTAATTCCGCTCTGAAGAAAAAATCATGGGCCTCCAGCAATTCCAAGCCTGTTAAGTCAACCCTGTAGACGTTATTTCGAACTTGGACCATGCCAAGTTCATATAATCAAACTGTGTTTGGGATTCCCTAAACAGCAGGAAGAAAGCTTTGTGCTGGTAGGGTAAAGAGAGTCACAGCAGGAAGCCTCAAGAGTCTTTTACCAGTCATCAAACCCACATTGGATGGATATATAAAAAATAATTAGCAAATTCTTTAACGCAAAAAAAGAGTCAAATAATAGCGATACAGGTTATTTCTTCAGCTCCTTTCAGGCACCACAGCCACAGTGGAGCCACAGATGAAATATTGTTTCCTTTCTTCTCTTTTCAGCATGGAATAAACTCTTACTTGTTCCTCTGCAGCCAACACATGCTGACACAGCTACCGACCTGAACTATTCCTAAACTTGTGCACACAGCCCTCAAAACATGTACGTTCTCAATACTAATGCATTCTGAACAGGACCCCTCGCATGTTAATGTAATGGTGATACATGTTGCTCATGTTTGGACAAACTGCATTAATAAAAATAGTAATTATGTTTATCAGTGCTTTCATTCTGCTATTGATGCTTTCATTTAAGGCAAGGAAGAAAATTCTGCATTATGCATTTAGAAAACTGGGTGCAGCAAAAGTTTGCAAAGCAGAAATGACAATGACAGGTCATTTTCAGTAACAAACTCCTGCTACAAAAGAGCAGGATCTTGTCAAAGCAGATCTTCTCACTGGTGGTGATAGAAAACCAGCAGTCAGGACATAAGCTGGCTGGAGACTCGCCTTTTTGCTAACAAGGGTGCCAAGCTATGCTATAAGAAACATCACTTACTGTAACATCCTTGCTGTCTATGACTATGAGAAGGACTTTTCCTACTAGATTCCTATTTTGTCGTTTTGGGGGTTACATTGTTGCAATGCAGATTCTTTTTTGAAGGTCTGTCAAAAACAACACGAACTGGGCTGTAGTCGGTAGCGCCACACACACTTTCAGTCACCACTGCTGCAAATGAAGTTTCAAAAACTGCAGAACAAGCGGCAGCCGTGAGTGTTTGTTCACTTCTTTCAAAATCACCTGCAGATTTCAAAGTCTGGTCGATGTTCCAAAGGACTGACGGCCCTTGAGATTATGGGGGCACAGCAGTACTGTTGAACACAGTTGTTCAGAGCAGAATGGAGGCAGAACAGGCCAAATATGGACAGAAATAAAACAAGAAATAGTTTTGCTTTTATCAATCGCAAATTATTTAAGTGGGAACTGCTTTTTAAAAATTGGATTAAGTGACATTTACAGATTTAAATCCCATACCAACAATCCCTAATGTAATGCGGTCATCTGCTGAAAGAATGATTCCAAAAATAAGCTGAATTGAAGCCAAGAAAGAAATGGCCCAGATGGTTAAAAAAAACGATTTAGAAAACATAAGTAGAAAGTATTTACATTAACTGTAAGCATAGGCAAAAAAAGACAAGAGAAAATATTTGAAAGATATAAAACTGTTCTTCAGTATTACAATAGCAAAGAACAGCAACGAGCTTAAGTGTTGCAAAGATTAAAAAATGGAAAATATTCACACAATGAAAGGGAATTTGCTGATGTAATCAATTCTCAAGTTTGAACTATATTCCATACTATATATACACACAATACGAGGTCTTAAATGATTTCACTCAGGTGTTCACTAAGGGGAAAAAACAAGACGACATGCCTCAGGCTATTCTATTTTAAACAGGAGCAGCACTAAAGAGTTAAAAGTGTCACAGTTACTAGAAAAGCTCAAGATAAATCTCCAGAGCTAGTATTTTACAGTTGTATTAAAGGAAACAAGGGAGGTCATTTACAGCCCCTTGAGAAAACTTCTAATAGTCACTCTATAAAAGGAAACAAGTAACTGTGGAATAAGATTAACTTAATACATTTAAATTATAGAGTAGATCACTACTGGATAATCTCTTTGATTATTCTAATAGAATAATCAGCATTTATGTACTAATAGATCACTAATTATTTCTAACAGAATAGTAAATTACAATATTCACCATGAGAAATGATAGAACAAGCAACAGCAGTAATGGCTACAAAGAGTATAATACAGTATATTCAGATACATTATCAAAATGCAGGTAGCAGGCATTCAATGTAAGATATGTATTTGGAAGAAGAATGCACATGAAAACATGTACATTAAAGTTAAAAGGTGAATGCTCTGATTGGGGTGATATAATCAGTGGAGACCTGGAGGGATCTGTATGAGAAGTAAAGTGTTTAGATTTCAGAAATCTACAATCTGATATAAAGTTTACAGGCGATACCAAAATGGGAAGATCAGTAAACACTGCAGAAACAGTGAAGGAAATGCAAAAAGACTACAAAACAAAATCAAGACAAAAACTCGGGAGATGACATTTAATACAGAAAGTTCAGGGTGTTAACATGCAAGAAAATTTATATATTTAATATGAGGAATACCAAGCTTAAAGAAGCTACGTATGAGAAGACCTAGTTACTTTGACATTTCCCTACTCTAATGTTGGGAAGCAATAAAAAGGTAAAGTTAGAATATAGTTAAAACTGGAGAATTTAAATCAAATTATGCTCAAGTTGCAAAAAAGCATGAATGCATCATTTAGAAAACTGTGTGCCGGCAGCCCTACTTAGAAAATAGCAGCGACCAGACACATTCCTGAGCTCAAAGGAGTGTTCTACAATGCAAGGCTAGGAACACAGAATCCTTTTCGTTTTCAACAGGGAAGACTGCAGAGGGGACCTTATTCAAGGATTCTAAATCTTAGCAGGTATTTACAAAGTCAACCCAGTCCTTCAGAACCCACAGGACACCACAGACCAGGGACAACTGAGTGTGAACTACGGGGAAGTGCGTTTAAAACGGAGAACAGGAGGCACTTCTCTGCCCTGAAGGTTGCAGGAGTGTGGAGCAAAGCTTCACAGTAATAGAAGTGGATAACTCAAGCATCTCCAGAAAGCAGAAGTGCAACGTGCTTGGATCACTTAGCATTTGGCAAGCAAAAGAGCTAGATCAGCTGAATGGCCTCTCATTTGGAATCTTATGTCCTCTGTGAATATGGGTTACTTAGACAACGCAATGCAATATCAACCACGTAAGCCAGAAAAAGAACTAGAGTTTGAATGGCCTCCTTTACCTGCTTTCAATTCAATACACAAACTCTGTGTATAAAACACAGCTGTAATTTTAAGAAGTGAACCATCACAGTTTTCAGTTATTATTGCTGTTATAGAAAAGGTTTGTAAACAAACTTTTGAGAAATTCACAATTCTCCTTTTGCCTAGGGGACAGCTGCCATATACCCCATGTCAAATTAAGAATTGTGTTCTCTGGGCTTCTGTATTTTCATTTTATTTTGAAAGTGGGAAGAGCACAGTTCATTCTTTTGTCTTCACTAAATAAAATATTAGCCTACTGAAATTAACTTTAGAAGTATTACTTAATCATCTGTCATGACATTCGCTCATTACAAAATCACTCATAAGTGATTTGTCAATTGCTTAGTTTTTAGTTTCAAATCTTTTATCAGAACACAAAACAGACAGTCATTGGCAAGTTAAAACGGTCTTAAATGTCCAGTTAATCTTACTGCATCCATTGCTGTGCCAGTAAGTCAATTGATTACTTTTGTTTCGTATTACCTGATCTGAAGTGGTTAGTTGACAAGAACACACATTTTAAATATCAAATGTAAAGAAGTGAGCAGGAAATACAATACAGTACTGTACATGAGGAAGCTGCAAAGGTTTATGCTGCCCAACTAAATCATCCAGGCTAAATAAGGGCCTACAGTGCTTGAACATCAAGATTCGGTGTTTAAGTTAACGTATGTTAAAGAGTTGATAATGCGCTAATCAATCCTAACTTGGAAATGTGTTCAGTTTTGATCAACAAGCTACTGTACAGTAGCAGTTTTTCTGACCTACAGGCAGTAAAACTGAGACCCAGTAAACTAATCTGTGGCATGATAGGAAACTCATTCATTTTAAATTAAATGAATCTGCAACAGAAGGTTGTTTTGACATTCAGCTATACAAAATTCTAAAACGCATTAAAAAAAAGCGAGCATGGGAGACTTCTTCCAATTGCCACAACACAATACTCTAGTCCCAGAGATCTCTAAAGCTATGACAAACAAAATATGTCTATTGGCTGCTTGATTGACATTTTTACGTTCTTACTGTTCTAACAGCCAGTAGGGTCAAAAGCTCATGTTCTTCAAAATGTGCCTCTTCTTTAGAATGGCTTCTGCCCATGTGTTCCAAAAGGCCACTGCTAACCAAACAAAACCCTATCCCCGCAATTCTTCTCTCCTGCCAAAATATGGAACTAGAAGTCACAGCGCATTAATGACAGAAACAAGGATATGTATATTTTCACAACAAAATTTATTAGAAGAATAGTGGTTTTGAAAAGAAGTGATTCTAGCATCCAGTGAATACTACCTTACACAACGTTACAGCTGAAATGTGTTGCGAAAATGGCATTTTCTAATAGAATACAACGTAACCAGTAAAATCTTACACATGCACAAAGACAATTAATCAGCGCTGCCCGACGTTCAATGCAAAAGAAAAAAAAAAAGACCACAGAAATTAAAATTTTAAAAAAATATATCACATACATTAGGAGACAGCTTATTTTTATTAGTCCAGTTGTAAATCAGAATTGCATTCAAAAAGGAAAAAAAAATAGTGCAATCAAACCAACATAATTATTGTGATCATTTAAGTGCTCTACTACATCATACACATTGATCATAACCTGGAATAAAAGTCCAAATCACACAGTACAAAAAGAAAAACAAAATGTACATAAACTACAGTACAAGAAAAATATTAAATTATACAATTCTGTCAAACTGTAAACAGTAGATATTGAAATGAGGTCCATTAAGGTTTTGGAGTGCCTGTTTTCTGAACATCTGAATGAGCCAACAAATAAGAGGGGTCATTGTTTGCCAAATGTTCTTCAGTTATGCTAATGGAATGAGGTATTTTAAAGTAAAGATACACGTCTTTTAAACAAAAGCTAAACCCTGAAATGGTCACGGTATATTAGTTCAAGCACATTAGCATGAGGTCACCACGTATTTCAATTTGATGTTCTTTCAGATCCTTGTCCCCGAGCAGCTGTAACTCATGTTTTCCCAGTACTAACCACTATCCACCAGCACCCTTTGAATAGGAATGTACAGTAGTTTCGTTGTATAAAAAATGTTGGTCCCCTTTGCTAATGGTTCCTACACCAGGATTTCAAAAACAGATTTCTCAGAATTCAGTCAGGTTGCACTTGAAAAGAATTAAACTGCACGTACACAAACCTACTTTACAGTAATAACAAGCTTTAATATAATAATTAGTTTTAATTGGAGGCTCTGTGAAAGAATTCAAATAATTACATTTGTTCTAGTTAAGGTTATTACTGTGCTTAGTAATGCAGCTGATGGTACAGCGTGTATCAGTATTAAATAGAAAGCTGCCTTCTTTCAAGACGCTCCTGTATTTTAAAGCATTATATTTTTACCTGATGCCCAAATTCTCCTGGGTAGTGACAAACTGTACATTGTCAAAAGGCTAGCCTGGGACCTGAGTCAAGTCTGCAGGAGTGCTGCAGCCGCCTCAGACAGGCCCACCAGCGCAGTTTCACTGCAGGCCTCCCATCTGACTGCAGCTCTCGGTCAGTAAAAAGGAACAAGCTGCAACGTGAAAACAAAGCTACAAAAAGACTTGAATGGGGCAATTTAAAACACGTTTGACGTGAGAGACCACAGATTCACCAACAGTTTTAGATTTTACAGCACAAGAAATAACCACAACCATACCAAAAATTCCCCACCCCATATTTAAAACTCATATGCGGAATATTATTGAAATACTTCGGTGCACTGGGTTTCAGCTTCCACATTTTTAAACCTTCTTAAAGCACATTAAATTGGAACAAGATGCCCAGAGAACAGGACCCCAAATCTGTTCAGCAGTAGTTAGAGAATAGTATGCCACTATTTAAGTGTCTGAGGCACTGTGTGCTGGAGAGTTTAATGCAGCTTAAATCACCGTTTGGCTAATATTTTACCTGAACTGAGTTTAAAATTGACATTCATTAATTAAAAAAAAACAAAAACGTACCACTTTCTGGCACGTTTTCCTTTTTTTCATTTTATTAAGAAAAAAAAGTCACTGCTAGGCTTCAGAATCTAGATAAAGTACCTGAATTGCGTGAGAGTAGTGTAAAATGTCCCTGAGGGTTTTCTTTTCTTTTTTTTTTAAACAGTGAGATAGATTGGAGCCTTGAAATTTGTATGTACAAGTAAACACATAAATCTGTGGATTTTTAAAAAGCTGACAATGGAATAATAAGCAGGACTATAAAGAGAGAAGGTGTCAGACAGATTTCGCACACACACGCGCACACATTTACTTTGTACAAGGGAAAAAAAATAATTAAAAGCATCGTAAGCAAAAGGTAAGAAACAGCAGTACCAGCAATACGCATCTTGGGTGCGCCAATTAAGTGACTGCCTGAAATTTAAGGTACATATCAATTTGTCAGTCTCCAAATTTCCTTAAGCATCACAAATTTATCTTGCATAAATTCCAGTGTTTTCTAAATTTGATTCTTATCTCACTGCTTACTTTACACCATTACTTCTGTTCTCTCACACTGCTGTACTTTAGACGAGCACACCTTCACGCATTATTCCAAGTTTTGGCTAACATGCAAAAATAACACCAAAAATCTCCTGCTCTTTCACATTTATATACGAAAGAAATATATTCAAACAATATAGGAATTTAAAGTACTTTCCTAAATGCAAATGGGAAAGGCTTGTTAGCAAAGATACTCAATTCCTTACATACACCACGCCTGTGAAACACAGGCCTGGAATGGGTAGTGCTGATACTTGTTTAGTACTATATACATAACCCCACAACTTCATTTTTTCATAAATATACTGTCTATACAGTGGTAAAAAAGTGACCCACTCTGCACACTGGCAGGATTGGCTTTTCTTCATTATCAGCTAAACTCAAACTTTCTACGCAACTATCCCCCTACAAAGACTCAGTCAATTAGACTGTGAAAGGAAATTAACATGGCTTGAAAAAACTGAGTAATTTACCTAAAATGCTAACCTTTATTCCCTGAATTAAATAAGGGAGAACTGTATCCCTTCAGCTTGACAGTAATTACATATATAACTTTTATTCTATGTATAGCTATTTAACAGATGTTGATTCGGTGTTATCTAACTTTTTACATTCACTGATAAAATAGTTCTCATCTCCTGAAATTAAAGTGATACAAAAAGCGAAACTGTTGTGAAACACGTTAAATTCGATAGGAGGTTCTGAATACTTTCCTGGGTGCATCTTAATTCTGCTTGAAAATCCTGAGGATCTTTAGCCCAAAGCTATGGTTTAATACAGTGTAATAGTGATTAAAGGGATGCTGAAGCTATCAGGAATCCAAGCTTACAAAATAAATATGGAAAGTAATAAAAATCTCTTATAGGCTTCCAGATATTTTAAAAGGTGTTAAAAATATCTAAATCTAATTTTTAAATATTTTAGAGTGACGATTTTGCTGGGTTTGTTCAGGGCTATAAAAATTTAACCAGGAAACTATAACACCACATTAAAACATTATCCCAAGGCCCCTTTATTCACCCATCAAAAAACTTTTTTTTGCTTTACAGCCAAGGACAAAGGCCTACTCAGTGGTTTCAGAAGAGCCACACAAAAGCCAGACTGATAATTCTGTTTCCAGTATTATTCTAGTGGCCCGCATAGAGGAAAAACATAGAATCCTCAAATAAAACACGTTTTTGACAACTGAAAAAATACTGTTCTTTTTCATCCCTTTCCCTGTACTTGCTACAGGACACACAAACACTGCAAATTCAAGATGAAAAATTAAAAAAAAATTATGCAACACGGGACAGTTCATGCAGGGTGATCCAAAACAAAACCAGAAGCAATGACACAAGCACAGACAGTGGCCTTTGTAAAGCCCTATGCTGAGCCCTGAATGTCAAATGACCAAAGGCTGCTCCACAGTGAGAATGAAGAGATTCATTAACCAGTCTGAGGTTGCAAGGGCTTGCATGGCTTTTCTGAGGTATACTGTGTTGCAAAGACAAATGAAACGGCACATGCTCTATGAATCGAGTGTGACAAGGGACATGCAAAGGCACTTTTGTGCCAGCCCGTGAATTTAGAAAAGACTCCCCCATCCAGAATATTCTCCACATAAAGCAAGTCAAGAAGCTTTTATTTTGGGCCTTTCAATGGCATTCATTGCTGAGGGCAATTTACACACCACTCCCTTCACTATTCCTTACAATGCTGTTTTCTTACACTATCTTTGTAAAGCACTGACAAGATATTTGGCTGCTTAATAATTGGTATACAGATAGGACAGCCTTCAGCTTTTACATTGGTTCCCAACCTATAAGGAAAATCTTTGGCCAGAACCCACTTATCAGGACACTTTCTTCTTGTTTTGATGTTGGGTTTGCCCAACTAATGAAGTGTTTACACATACACACTTCACATCACTTTCTTCTTTGTGCACGGAGAGGATCACCTTTAGGTCATTCAAGACGCATGGCAACACACCAGCAATAAAAGAGACCCGCCCCAGCATCACTATTAGATGGGTGTGCATGGAAATAAAACTAAATCCTTCCACAGTAGCACCTCACTAAGCGCCCACCTCATCTGGCGACACTGAATCGTTCTGCATAATGTTTTGATGATCTAGAGCGCTTGAAAATAACCCCCCAAAAGGTGAGCCACAAATGAACCAGATATACACTTGCCGTACAAAGAGTGTACAAGGATCAAGCACCATGCAATGGGTTTTGGAAATGGTTTGAATTTTAAACTAGTACAGTGCCTACTCTTCCACATAAGGAAATGACATGAGTTGTGTCTCTATTTTAACCATAAACAAAGGGCAATTCTGCCCCTTTACTGTACCAAGCTTTTCAACACAGTTCCTTGCTCTGCATGGTTAGACATGTTTTGTATACAGGAAAGCGAAACTCTTGCACTTGTCAGAAAGGATGAAATCATTTATTACAAAACTGAGCTGAGTGGGCAAGATGTTTGTGGAATGAGAGGCTCTGATCATTTTTTTCAACATATCAAACTAACCACAGTCTTTTCTACACCTTACAAGGCTTGCTGAAGCAGCTGTAAGACAAACAGTTCTGCCAGGGTACTGCTGTTCAGCAGTCGGCATATTAAAACTGCTTCACTCCAATGCACACCAACTTCTGCAGGAACCATTTCTGGTAAAACTTACTGTCAACTTTGAGTCTATTCTTAAAAATGAAGAGGCTGGAGAAATACAAGTGAAGTGATGACCACTTGCATTAAGCCTCAGAAATTAATACAGCCCTCCTATATGTCTCAAAGATCATACATTTACAATGTGTCCTTTAAATTATTCAGCAGCTTTTATGAGAGTTCATGAAATTTTAACAGGACCTATAAAATACTCATACAGCCAAATGCAGAATTTTCATCAGTCTCTTCAGTATTGCTTTCAATTAAGAGAGGGGCTTGGTTTAAGCTCCATGTCCCTAACTAGTCTCCATTAACCCAGATTTTACATCACAAAACCTTCACTGTAAGAATTAATATACATGGTCATAAGACAGATTAAGGAACAATAAAAAAGAACAAACATTTTGGTCCTATTCACTTGAAATGAAACAATCTGGACAGAAACATCACTCTGGCAAGAACAGAACATGGTCCTTTCCTGGAAAGCCAACGGTTTTCTGTTGAGGCTGCTAATGATTTAAGAACTGTTTAAAAGGTGCACAACATTTTTCAGACCTTGACGTTCACCAGTTACACTTCTGATAACCATGTGTGTTGGGTGATGGGCAAAGCAAGTGACTTTTTTTCTTGTTGAAAAACAAAGCAGTTTTGAAAACTTAAAAGTGAACAAAAACTCCTACAGAATACAACCCATGACTTTGTCATTATTTTTAAATAAAAAGGGCGCGAGTGTGTAAGCACTGTTTGTGGTGTGCCATCTTCATTGTATGACTCTGCGGTCAGACAGCAATTAAGACGGGAAAAAAACAGCACATTTGACCTAAATGGCATTACAGGTTCACAAAGGTTGCAAGATAACATTGAAAATCACATAAAAGGTGGTGCAGCACACAGAATTTCAAACTGGTGTCCCAGTGAGCGTGAACCACCCCATAACAAACACGCAATCTGACAACAGTGACTGCCTGCAGAAATGCAATGCTGATTAATCATTAGCCCCCAGCAAGTTAAATGCTACAAACACTTGCCAAAAGGTTGAGTCTCTATTTCAAGAAATCAAAACAAAATGAAAACGCAGGAGTGACTTACACCATACCTTAACAGATGTATTTTTTATGTTTTTTAAATTAGACATCTCTGTACTCCTCATTTTATCCAAAGGTTTTTAGAAACTTCTTTCAGGTTATACTGAACTGACAAACAGAGGGATTTCCTGCACATAAAGCAGGGTGTGAGGTAGTAAACCCTATTCTACACTATAACTGGACAAGGAATTACTAACTTTGAAAAGGTAACGAGAGGGGATCCTCATGAGAGACACAAAAGAGCAATTTAATGCTGGGTCTAAGGGCTCTTAAAAAACTATTTTGCAAAAAGGAAACATTCAATAAATGCACCTGCAAGCACATGCCATCTGCAATATTTTTGGTTTGCATTACGCCTGTCCCATTAAACCAGCTCTTGGTTGGCTCGGTTCTGTCACTGCAACTACAACTTCCATTTTAGCAGCATTTCTGATTTGCAGTTAGAAAAACTGGGAGTTGCGGGGAGGGGGGAGGAGTGAACACATCTAAACCTCCAGCAATTTCACTTTACCAAATTGGACAAAAAAGCAGTCCCACGTCAAGTTTTTTTACATCCAATTAAAATAAAACTTTCCTAGAGTTTTCACAGACATTTCAGAGCCCAGCCCCTTCCACCCCCAAAAAAGACATCTGCTAAGAAACAGTGTTTGACAAAATGACAACCATGAGAAGCTCCTCATTTTGCTTTAAAAGATAATTTCATCTGTTTAAAGGACAGGCACACCTTCACCTGTGAGCCTAACTGCCGGATTGTTGTCTTAACGCTGACCAGATTAGCCCAGTTTAGTTCCTTTACCTCTTAAGTGAAAGTCAAATTTGGGCAGAGAAATTCAAAATTGGTTCATTTGCTCCTTCACAGACTGTTTAGACAAATGGGTCTACACACACACTACAGACATCAGTAAGGCAGAGTACGGCAGGCTCATGAAGCTGACAATCAGGGCTTACTGATGAAGGATACCTATGATAAAATGACTCCTCGGGCTCTAGAGTATTAACTGTAAGCATGTTAATGGCTACTGTAAGCAAAGTTTCAAATAAAGGCTCTTTTCAGGTGAGCAAAATTCAGCAAACATTTTTACTTGTTTATATTGCATGTCATTCCTTTTAAAAATATCTCAGTGTCTATGGCATTAAACACCAAGAGTCCAAGAAATGGTCTCTCCCTCACTGATGTTAAAACTGACTAAATGCAGGGTGACAAAATTCTTACTCTTGAACAGGTCACTGGTCATGAATGCGACCTGTCAGTAAACTGCTGACGGAGAAGCGAAGAGCTGGAACCTTTCGATTGAAAACTAAAAAGGCCAGGCAATCTGAACATAATCTAGCTATTTGTTAATAATAGTTATTAATATTGAATGACATATTACATTATGTAATGTTGTCAAGTTACTAAGGATCTAAAACTAAAACTGTTTTAGAAAGTCAGAATAATGCTAGTACAGAGTGTGGGATTTAAGAAAATGTATAAACTGAGGACTGAGGTCCACCATGTAAATGCCTTCATTTAATAAATGCCATTACTGATGCCGTAGCAGTCCAGATACAAAAAGTTCTAATTACTTAGTACATTAGAAAATTCTACTTGATGAAACCAGATGAAGGCACAACGTCACACACTCACAAATCACTTTCTAAAGGTGTATAAAAGGGGAAGGATTTAACAACAAACTCATCCCTTTACGATACCTAAATATCAATGCAAGTGATCAAACAGTAAAACCACAGGCCTGAGAATTAGGTCTTAAATCTGTCTGTTTTTAGTTCACTTTGGAGCATTTAAGGACAGCAACTGGTCTTTACACAACAAGTCATGACTTCTTTTTCAGCGATAAAGAGAAATGAGGATTATCTACTTAAGCAGACACCCCCTGGTCATATCCCAGAACCCCCCCCCAGGGAAATGTAATTTCCGAAGGTGATTGACATAAATCAATTGGTAAACTTGTTGGTGACACCAGCAGCTTCACTTTCAGATGGGCTTTCCCTTGGTGTGCCTTGCCTTTAAATTCTACTATAACCGCAGTTTTGCACAAGGTGTTTTAGCTATTAGGTTCTTCGCTGAAGTCCAGTAAAGTAGACCTCTCAAAGATGCAAATACCTGGTTCACCTCGAACCTTACAACACAAAACGACGCTGCATTCAAATAATCTCAGCAACAGATGTTCGTCACGGCAGGGTTTAAGGACTGGGCACAGCACAAGACCTACAATATAGCAGTATTAGGTCTTGTGCAAAGGGAGGAGTACCCAGTTTACAGTATTTTGTTTTTACATAACCGGCAAACAAATTACAAAGATAATATAAGCTTTTGCCTAGTTGTACATTTCACCTTTAGTATACCTAAAGCAGACTCCTGATACTACATCAGGTAGTTCTCATTACAGCAATTAAATTACAACATTTGCAGACAGTCGGTTACTGGAAATAACCAGTCCACTACAGTGTATCCCTGATGTGTGCCATAAGTGGTAGTGTCTAAGTTTTGTTTCAAGACTGTGTGCTAGACTTGATCAGCTGCACTGAAAGGTGTCAATACCTGTGGAAATCCACCACTTCACCGATTAAAAAAAAAAATCTCAGTGTGTCAAGATGTGGTTACAATCAGCTGCTCTGGAGGAATGACCTGAGGTATAACTGTGAACCAGATATGTGGCTAATATGAAAGACTTCATATGTCCATGATGGAGAATATACAGGTATTCTGAAGGTTTGCCATTCAGGGCTAATGGCAGGAGGAAAAAAAACAGTTACGTTTCAATGTGTAACACTACAACTGCAAGAATTTAAAAAGGTAGATAAAGACTTTTAGGTAGATAAATACTTTTTATACTCACAAACATAAAACTTTCGATCTTTTTAAAATAAAAGATTTTGGAATGCACTGTGATGTGGGGAATCAAACAGCTACATAGCGGGGAATAAACTGTTCCACCTGTCCCATTAGAAGCCTCCATTACAGTCACAAATAGCCAACCCCTTGTTTACAACTACAGGGCCCGCTTGTGAGTTCAGATTTATATAGAGCACAGTGCCCCTTTAAGTACTGGGAAAAACCTACAGTAAAATATTTTAAAGAACTGCCTGCTTAGGCACATTTGGTTTTTACTTCAGTACGGCAAACTAGTTGCAGAAACATCAAAAGAAAGTGGTGTAACCACCACAGAACTGTACTGAGCTCATTATACATTATAAATAGGGAAAAAGGCTAAGATAGACAAATACCTAATTGCTGCACAGAATGTTTTATATACCATAGTGAATTATGGTTCGTTCTTGCAAAATTTTCTGAAAAAAAAGTAGGAAGCACATACTGGTCAGTTAGATTTTTAAGCAAAACATCCTCAGAACAAAAAAAAAAAAGAAGGAAGCTAAATTTCCCAGAGCAGAGACTATCCCTTCATCAGAAGCTTGTGAACGGGGATACAGAAACGAGGTACGGAAAAGGAATATTTTCCGAGACTGAGGTATTCAAGTGGTAAAAAGCTAGGTTTTTTGTTGTTTTTGTTTAAAATACAGGTAGTCAAGTCTGCTTTCTCTAACTGACAAATATTGCTTCACTACTATCCTGAGATATTTTGAAGGCTACAAAACCACATAGCCAAGAGTTTTAATTTCAGAAAAGAGCATCTTACATACTGTGCAGCACAAGCAAAGTGTACTTTGTTTTATGCTTTACCTGCCACTTTTTTTTTTTGCTTATTTTGGAAGTGTGAAAAATATTCATAATTACATTCATTTTAACACGCAGATTCTCAGGAACTGTGCTAAGAGCAGGTTTATGGTTCTGCTTTCTGAGGTTTGACTGGAGATAGCGAGGAAAGAGGAGGCGATTTTGTGGACAGGGGGAGCCGTTACCCCATAGGCAAAACTACAACAAAAACAAAGTGTTATATAGAATAGAACTGCACGTAGTTGCTAAATTGCAGCTGTGCCAAAATGCCTAATTTGGACTTTGGTAAGCAAGGCAATGTAAGCCAGCTTTCTCATGTTTGCTGGAAAGTGACAGGGAAATAGTTTCTATCCTGTAATTGCTCTAACTAATGCAGCAATAGCACACCACATTCAATAAGTGCCTTCAGTCCGTGGAAGGTAAGACTTGGAGTAACTTTGTGGTTCTCACAATATGAATACAGTGTATGCATACACATACACAACCACGTGTAAATATAAGGATAAGACAACAGGACAATTGCAAACGTTTCTAGCCCGGTTTCTAAAGAAGCAAGGGGATGTTCTGGTTCAAGGTCGCCTGGCCCAAAATCATTTTCTTGAGGAACAATCTTCTGTTTTAAAAGCCCATTTTAAGTGTTGAAACCCTACACATATATAAAATCATTCCCTTAAGTGCTTTGTTAAAGTAAAAAATAAGGATTATCTTAAAACAGGTCTAGATCTACAGAAGGATTTAATTTCAGAAAATGAAAAACGCTGAAAAAACCCTTTTAAGACGAAAAAAATATATAAACCCAATTATACACTTTAAATGCTGTGCGTTACTAAAGTGTTTTAGGCATTTTATGCAGCTTCTCCACCTAGCAGGTGATCTGAACAGGCCTGTAAATGGGATACTGAATTACTTCAAGTAACTAGGTTACTGCAGTATTCCCTTCAGCCTTGCCCCTTTCCTGCGACTCTCAGAATAATGAAGCCATGTGGTTACTGACCAGTTATCTAGTCCACATATTTAATACAAACTGTGTTAAATATAACACTTATCTTGAGTTCAAACTGGGAAAATAACTTTGTGGTAAAATCAAATGTACAGAACACATACATTGTGTTTAAGCGCAATAACATTTTAACTGGCTTTGCTCTACAAAAACAATGTCACTGGCCTAAGCACAAAATTGTGTTGTGCCCTGTGTGAACACCAAACTATTATATTCGGTGTCCGTGACACTCATTACTCAAAAGCTTTGAAAAGATTTAAAATAGCCATATATTTAATCCCTGTCACTGTCAGACAAACACACTGCACGCATTGTGAAAGAATGTGCACCTGTTTTTGGATAGGCTCACACACAAACACAGCATTGTGTCGGTGCCTTCCACTGGGTACAAAACAAATTTGTAAATATTCGGAGTGTGTATTTATGCATTTATGTGCATGGACGCGATACAGAATTAAAAAACCTTGATACTGAATACCTATTTTAAAAACTTATCACAAACAAGATACAGTTCTTGAATCCATGCCCTGGTAGTAGAAAGGCTGTGTTTGAGGGTAGATTCAAAGTATATACCTGAAGACTGATCGACTGCATTATGATTGTGTTTGTCACTTCAGACTGGGTGAGCACCAGGCAGTTGGAGGAAGGGTGTTTCAAAAACAAAACTAGGTACTAAAGCAGCATAAAGCACTGATTCATTAAACTGCTTTTACCTGCTTTTTTTTCTTCAAAAAAAAATCAAGCAGGATTTTAGGGCCTTTGTCATTTATTGTAGGATGCCCCCAAGTCTTTCCACTGGGGAAGTCGCTACATCTGCCTATTTCATAGGTTTACAGGGGCTCTGATAAAGCTACGTCTGATAGAAACTCCCATCTCTGCTAGCGTTTGCTGAAGAGGTAATTCAAGGAAAGTCTGGGTCTGAGCTGCAGCTTTCAGAACTTATTCAGACACTAAAGCTTTTGTGTTTTGTCCCCCCCCTCCCCCCTGCAGCCACCACCACCACACATTTTCTTTTTAAAAAGTGCTATTTTCAGAAATTCATGGACACACTTACACCCTCTCCCCATCCCTGGACCCCTCAATTTTCTCATCGTTGTACTTTAAGCCACTGGACGAGCTAGACTCTTCTTTTCTTTTCCTGGAAAATCTTTACACACCTTTACTGTCCTTCACCTGCCTGCAGAAAGAGTCTTATGTTTAAAAATATAGAATATATAGACTCCTCTCTCAGTTACCCTGAGCTCAAAAGGAAATTATCTTAACATGAAGATAGAAATAATTATAATAAAAACCCTAAGATGAAATCAACATTTTTCCCCTTACTGGAGCATTTTCAGCAAAATCTGTCAACAAGTAACTTATGATTTTACTGGAAAGGCTGGGGGAAAATAACTGATTTTAAAACCAATCCCTGGATGTGGGTTTCACTAAAACGACGGCTTTTCTGCAATTCAGGTGACTAAAATCCCTAAATCAAAGGGAAATCCTGAAACAGCAAAGAGACTCACTAGGAAAAGAAAGAAAAGTGACTCCTGCAGACCTTAAGTGCAGAGCGCTGAGACAGCAGCGGAGAGGCGATCAGGCTGGCCAGGTGCTCACTAGGCCGCCGAGCCTGACAGCACAAGACCAGAGCATGTAGTGCAAAAAAAAAAGCAAACCCCAAAAATGAAAAGAGAGAACAGAAGTCTTTGAAAAACACAGAAGTACATCCCTGAATGAATTTCTATATACCAAGTGTGTACACTTCATTAATAAAGACTTTAAAAAAAAAGTGATGTTGAATTCACAAAGGAGCCTAACAGAAATCCTTAAGGAACCCAACTTGCTTGTGTGGGTTTTGCGCAAAATCCTGGGTCTCTGGTGACAATACTGGGAACTGGTCCATGAAAATTCAGAATTTGCAAAATGTACAGGTTCATAAAAGTCCACTGAAATTAACTTAGTGTTTTTTCACAAATTTTGTTTTGCTAAAAAGGGGGGTGTGGAGGGCTTTACTGTGTGTTTCCTGTAGAAGGCATTCATCCCTAGTGGTCCACCCATTACAACACCTCGCCCCATGCCCCAAGCCCACAGACTTGCCAAGTCCGGTCTGTATACTGGGTTCAGACACTTGGGAGAAAAGGGGGGAAGGGGGAGGGAGGGGGTTAACTAATCTTGCTTCGCTAAAACTTAGTAGGTGTCACATAACGCGTGGCTTCAATGCATCTGTTTGCAAACTGAGGAACCAAAATGCCTGTACAGTGCTGGAAGTAAAACACTGTAAAATTAGCATATCTGACTTTTTTTTTTCCAGTTTTCTCCGTTATTTCCTGCGTTTGTGCTCACCCAGATACTGCAAAGTAAATTGGCACTACTGAAGCCCCACCAACTTTTACTTTACTCATCTTTCACATCGCTTGTCCCCTGTGACCCTTCACCCCTGGGAGAAGGGTCAGACTCAGCCACCACCTCTTGCCCTTCCATCCTCATCAGTTTCATTTTTTTCTTTGGAGGGTTTTTCAGAGTTCCTAGCCTCTCTTTGACTTTATACTCCAGTGTGCTGTGGGGGATCCCATAGATATTCTGTGCCTTTGACACGCTCATCTTCCCGCTCATCACGACTGAGATCGCCTCCTCCAGAATCTCGCTGTTGTACTGCCGGTAGCGCCCCCGTTTCTTTCGAGGCTGTTTGGAGTTCGGGTCTCCCTCTGGGTCAGAGGTCGGGTACTGCTGTCCAGAGGTTGACTGTTCTACATCAGACCCCCAGAAATCCTGTCCCCCATCCAGGGCTCCCCCTACACCCCCTCTCCGATTCTGCTTGGGAAGGATGGCCCGCAGCTTCTTGCTGAGAGCGTTTTCCGAGTGAGGGCCCACCACCAGAGATCCGTAACCATAGAGGTCGGAAGCATGCGCCTCCCAGGAGAGATCCATGCCTCGGACCTGAGGGATCTTCAGATCCACTGGAGCCGAGTGTCCGTGGTCCCTTTTCCCATCATGTAGCTTCGCCTGGCTCGGATTCTTTGAAAATGCACCAGAGTTCTCCAGGAGAAAGGGCAGGTCCTTCAGGTCGTTAAGTGCACTGTTTGCCTTGAACTTCAGGTGGTTGTCAAAATGCGGCTTGCTCCAGGAACTTTCTCTCGAGAGAACGGCATGCTGCCCGTGGCTCAGCAGCCCCACCGACTCAAGGCTGGACAGAGAGACAGCGGTCGGATGCAAATGCTGCTTCCGGCTGAGCAGATCCTCTTTGATCTGAAGGGAGTGAGCTAGCGGAGGCTTAAGAGGGGTGGAGTGGCCGTAATTCTCCCTCATCCCGTCCTGCAAGCTTCTTGAAGGCAGCCCATCTGCATCCCGGCAATGTCCGTCTCGATAGTTGTGGTCAGCTCTCCCTGGGCGCCTAATTGAATGGAAGGAAATTGGTGTAAGCAGAGCTTGCACAGCTTTAGGGAAGGATGGGTTGGGGAAGGTAGGGTGTGGCCACTCCTTTATTAGAAGACCTTGCTTGGGTAACATCACTTTTTTTTGGGGGGGAGGGGGAGTTTACGTGTGCTTAGAAAAAAAAGGCTCAAGTTTTTTTAAAAGTTTATTTTTGTGTTTTTTTTGTTTCGTTTTACAAATAAGTTCTTGCCAAAATGAACAAAACAATCCAAAAGGGAAAAAAAAGCTTCAGGGCAAAGAAATTAAGTAAAAGGAAAGAAAGAAAATAACTTTGTACATAAGAAAGAAAGCAAATTATTTAACCCGTCTGCCAGTCTCGGGAGGGGGAAGGGGGGATGTTTCTCGTTGCAGAAAAGCAAAGCCTTGCATGAAATTTCTGAAAATAGCACCAGAATTGTGAATTACAGAATCATTAGTATCCAGTATAGCACAGCGCTTTGCTAGTGTGACGTTACCACTAAACAAGTACAGCAATAAAAGAGTAAGCCAAGTGATACAGGATGTTACACTTACAGTTACAACTTGCTTACGTATGCAGACATACACACATACACTCATTCTGAATGGCTCATTTCAGGGAATAATTTACCTGCTGCAGAGTAGCAAGCTGCAAGGCAAACATGGAACCACGAGAGGTGTGCACAAACTTTTCATACCCGCTAACTCCATAGGGCAGCCTCAACAACTATCTCACGTCTGCGTCAGCACAAATGGAAAGGTAGTTTAGGTGTGCAAGGCCTTATGAGCACAAGAAACATCTTACAAATGTTTGGATTTGCGTGGCGGGCTAAAATGTTTTTCTGGATTGTGATAAGGTGAAACGTTGCCCTTAAAAAATGAAAGATTAACGAAAAAACATCCCCAATACGATGGAAGCCAAACTGCAATGGAGTGTCATGGGGACATGAGTAAACCCTAGGTATAGTGTTGTAGAGCAGACAGATTAGGGCGACTGTTATCAGTAGGAGCCAACATAACCACACGATTGCGCATATTGTACAAACAGGCTAATAAAAAAAGATGACAGCTGTTAAGGTTGTGCTCTCTTATCCTTATGTTGCGATTCACACCTGACACACCACAAAATCTGCAACATTAGAAGTAAACGAGCAGGCCACCTGCATTGCTTACAGTTTAGCGAGTGTGCTCAAACATATGCTGAAAATAATTATTCGATTATGTTTCGATTCAGCATAAAATTGCTATTACATCAGGTAGCCTTTCAACAATGAAAACCATTGTGTCAACTAAGATCAGAGTAAGACATCCTTAAACACCATGGGTAGTTTTGATTATTCAATCTGGGAAACATTACAGCTGAACTGATAAGGCACTCCCGAACATCACTGAGTAGTAAATGTACTAAACAAGGGTTTGGCATAGGCTGTCAAATATGCAACAAGTTAACCTAATCTAAAATATCAGACCTGGCTACAACAGACTTGTGAGCCATCACAATATTTGTGGGAAGACCTCAAAATTCACAGGAAACATTTTTTGGTAAAATACCGGATTATTTAAAAATTAAGAAAATGCATGAACCCATATGATGAAGTGTCAAACACAGCAGTAAATTATTCCCCGCTATATAAATGTGTGCATTACATTTCCATAAAAAGATGTGTTCCCACAATTCTTTCTAAGATCTTTGTTACTTGTCTACCTCTTCCAACTTACCTTTAAGGTTTAAGCCTTTTTAAAGTCAAGAGTCTGGAGCAACCAACTTCACTTACCTCTCGGCAATCAGTTAGCCACATAACACTGCAGCTGGAAGCCAACTGCATCTCAGCTGCCTGGCCTAACATACTCAACTTTTTACTTATTTCAAGGGAATCTGCCATTAAAATAAACATGCACACTCAAAGACGTTCTCAAGCAAATATTTGAGTGAACAGATGGAGGTCCTTATTTATAGCTTGTGCAGCAGAGATCTTGTGTACATTCGCAAACATATCTTGAGATTGCTCTTTTAAATTCTTTTTTTTTTGCCTTAGTCCCGTCTAAAATGTTCACTTCATGTATTTTTCATTTATATTGCTAAATAATAGAGAACGTGAGACTGCCAATTTTAAAAGAGACACATGCAGCATATTAATGCTTATCCATGCACAAGAATGGCCCCACACCTCCAGAAGCAGACCTGACTAATTGGCATTAAGACATGCCAAAAATCACAACAGCACACAGACAAATTGTATGACATCTGAAATGTATCAGTTTACAAACAAATATCATGAAGGCAAGGAGTTTAAAAGCTTTTATGAAAATTCAGTTCTGAAGAATTCAGCGCAGGCCTGATCTTAATCAAGAAAACAGGCAATAAAAAGAAACAAGAGATCACTGTGAAGTCTAGAACTGAACAGCACCTTAGTCAGTCATAATCGTGTGTGCATTATGGTTATCCAAGAATGAAATCATAGCAGAAGGACTGGGCAACACTACCCAATACACAGAATCAAAAGCCTATATTTTACAGCACTTAAGGTGTAACTGCTTTCTTGGAAAGCAATTCAAAGCAAGGCAAAACCAAATGCATGTCTAAAAGGTAAATCTCTGTCAAGTTTTTAAACCATTTTATGATTCTGATGCAAGAAACAAAACATTGGGAATATTGTCATGAACAAAAAAGAAAAGAAAATTCAGGCTATTTAAAAGCCCATTTTATACAACCCTTTGTCCATTCATACCAACGAATAAATGACTTCCTCACCACATGAAAATATAACAGTATGAAGATGGCAATCAGGTAAGTGTTTGAGCTTACCTTCCAGGACTTACCAGTCCTTTCAGCTCAGAAAGCTATTAACCAGCTGGGTACTTAGGAACATGGACCAATAAAAATGTTTAATGCTGTACATCCACTAGTGCATGCCTTTTGCTAACCTTCTTTGAGATGAGCAGCAAAAAGACTGTACTAGCAACACTCCCAATATTGTGCAAAGTAAATAACTTGCTGAAAAGGCTGGACTACTTAAGTAACAGCAAAGCAATTTGTGTTTAATTTCCCAACGTACTTTAAAGTGACTGACTGGATTAAAATCACAAGACATCCTCGGCTTCTTTTAAAGCCTTGCCATTAAAAACTCAGAATAACTTTAATTAACATAACAGAAAACTAGAAAGTAAGGGGAAATGGTTCAGTGGTAGCAGGCTGGTAATTTGCATGCTTGACAATAATGAAGATGAGATTAATAAGTGTGTATGAGCGCACGGGTGGGGGGGAGGGCTGAAGAAGTCTCTTCTCTTAGAATACCCGAATTCTATCCAAACCGACCGCCGGCACGACAGATGGTTTGAGGGTGAAAATAGCCGTGTCCCTGTAGTGCGTGTGCCTTCTCCAGTTCTACAATGAGGGGGGAGTGGTAGGAAAGAGTTCTCCTTACCCTTTCCCCAGGGGGGCTGTTGAGCAGCCAGGAGAGCTGTTGAGGGATGCACTACTTCCACCAGGGCTTTTTTTAGTTGACAGATCAAGGACTCCATCTGTAGAAATAGGACACGTTATAAGAAAACGTTAGTTTAGAAACTGTAGGAGCATTAGAACGAGCACCAACTGTTTTCTGACTGATTAGCCGGTCCAGTTCTCCCCCAGAGTGCACGGCGTCCTGTATCGGGTGCTGCTCAAGCCCAGGTTACCACAGCTTGCTCTTATTTGAGGATGTGTCCAAAGGTTCCCTAGAATCCATGTCAACTTCCAGGTTTATCTGTTAAGTGCCAGTGTGGTGGTACAGGCTGTAAGCAGAGCTGCTAAGAATTTCAGAATAACAAAAACTGGAGACGGAGCATTCAAACAATGTGGATTTAATATGGTCTAAAATCTCTAGCCTTCCGAGGTCACAATTTATCCTTCCCTGAGCGGATTGTTCTCTTTGTACTTGGTGTTATAACACAACACTAAAACCTCTGGTTTGAGGCAGCAGGTCCTACAAACCTCAGTAAAAGTAAAAAACTTTGTGGAATTTCCAGCAAATATCATTTTTGTATAAGCCCAAGATTAGGTACAAATCAGCTTCCATAGAGGAACAACTGCATAGGCCCCTCAGAGATACCTAGCAGTACAGGTATACTGGTGTAAGCACATATGCTGTCAAGTGACAAGGAAATGAAAAGATGTAAAAAAATTACCTTGGCTATGTTTATAACAGAAAGAAAATACAAGCAATGTTCAGTGTAGGAGAAAAAATACCAAAAGGGCAGAAGGGAACCTCTTTCAAATCTAGAGGAACCATTCTTTGAAAATGTGGCAATCTAAGAAAATAACAGTAATAGAACAATAATAGGGTAGAACAGAAAAGGCACAAAAGTAGGCTATGTACGATTGCAGTGATGCCAACAGAAGATACACTGGTCCTCCAATCAGAGGTACTCCCAGTGTGCTTAACGGCAAGCTTGACCGTAGGTGTCGGAAGAGAGTCCAGTCCAGACTCGTAATAAGACCTGTGGATTCTGATATAAAAATTAATACTGAAGGGTGTTATAAAACTAGAATATATAATCAAGGAGACGCGGAGGGCTGTTCTCTTTCCAAGGGCGACACAACCCTAACCCCAGCCGCACCCGGGGAGTTCTGTGCTGTATATTGAGGAGCTTTGGTCGCCAGCGCAAACATGCAGCTCCTCTGATCTGATGTGACTACCTCCACCAGTTCAGCCACGCTATCATAACTTCTGCCAGTACAGAAACTACAGCAGACAAACGTTGATTTACACTGGGCTTACTTACCCAATTGTGCAGACCAGCGAGTAAACTGTCCTTTAACAAACCAAATGTAGAAACTGTATGCAAACCACCGTGTAATATAAAGTATTTGGCACTACATTCATGTTAAATAAGGCCTAATCAGTTGTTAAAATGGGGCATTCGTATCATAAAATTTGAATTCTGTACATCTCAAACACTACCTGGGAAACATGGCATTATTCATACATGGTATTATCTCTGTTGAACTGCCAACTGTTTGTGAAGATACACAAAAGCAGAGTGGGATTTAAGAATAATATGTTTAGTGCTTTATTATAATGGCGTGTAACTAGATGCTACACACAAAATTTCACAAAATTCTCCATTCGTTTAATTTTGACAGCTGTGAAGCCAAGTGCAGCCTGCATGAAAAAGCACAGGTTTGACGGCCATAAAAGCAGCCATTTAGAGAGACTGCAAATGGTCCAATAAGACTGTAGAGGTTCATGCTTGTCAAGGAAACTTCTTTGTGGTTAAACACAAAAGCAAATACACTTGCATGTGGTTACAGGTCCTCTGTAAACAACTCTACAACTGTTTGCTTCCCTTTGAAAGTCTGAAGGAGACTTTCCTCAGCCAAGTGTTTTGTGGACCAGGGATGTCTTGTTTTGCTTAGTGAGACGGTTGAATCTACAAAAGCATTCAGCATGTATACATGGACAAAGAGCACCTGGTCAGAATGAATCCCTATTACTGGTCCCTGAAACATCCCATTAAAGTGGAAAAGGTTTGGAGTCGCTATAGATTTATAACAAAACTTCACCTACATAAACGTATACCAAATTAAAAAAAACATACTTTATTCGAGATTTTAAAGAGCAGTGAAAACCACAATTTTCAATCCCATTTAGAGAAAGTGGCACATTGCCGTATTCCATCTCGATCCGTTCATGTATATTAAGCAAGTATAGAGCATTACAACAGAGACAGAAAGCAGGAGGTGACCTACAGGTGCCTGCTCAGGCAATGATGCCATTGATAGCTTTTTTAATTAGAATGGCACCCCTCAAATTAATAACATGATTTTCTGTTATCACTGCACAGAAAACAGAAATGATAAAGACTAAATGGTATAATCTGAAATAACATCGCCTGAAAAGAGCTCAATAATCTACATACATACTTTAAAGACAAAAAAGAACATGTGCAGACACCACATCCTAATTAAGTTAAAATCAGTTTTACGATAACCTTTTATTTGGATACTGTTAAGTTTTAGTGAAGCTATTTTCAGAAACATAAAAAGACATCTTATCAATATTGATGTTTGAAGACAAAACAGGGGTACTAGGAAGAAACAGACATGAACATGGGGAGAACACACAACCTCCACACAGATAGCACCCCGGGAACTGAACCCAGGGCCCCAGCTAACGGCTGCACCACCATGCCATCTGATTACACTAATTTACAAATTCTACTTTGTATACAAAATCTTGACATGGCAACTTACCTTGGAAAACAAAACAGGTTTTGTCATGTGTAAATGAATGTAAAGAACTGCCATTTCAAGAGTCTCTTGCTAATGTCAGAGGCCTTTGCAGCTGCTACTGTTCCAAATTCTGTTGAAACAGCATGGTGACACTTGGCACTCAGCAAATATAACCCTAATCAACTCCAAGTCTAGTCAACTCCAGCAAAGAGCCAAGATAGACTGGCCTGCCAGGATGCCTGATCTCTTTACAGCTGAACATGTCCAAGACACTAGATTTTAAAGGCACCTTTCAATAAGAAGCTAATTAAGAGCTGCAAATCAGTAGAAGATCTGACATATATGCTTAATTAGTTCAAGCACTATGACCAGTAATAAAACTGGAAATTTTACGAACAAAACCATCTTAATAAGCTCTAGAATACAGTCTTGGAAAGTCATCTGTAAACTATATTAAAGGAATTTGTAAAGTCTGTAAATCATGCTAATGACAGTGAAGCAGAGAAAGAACATATTGTACACAGAGCAGCTGATCTTGATAAGGCACTACATGTGCTTAACGTAGGAGCAACAGAAAAGAACCCTTTTCTGTAATTGCCATCATTAATACATCCAGACAGAGGTGAGGCGGATTTCAAATCATCTTGCTCTGTTAATTTAACTTTGGCTTGAAATAGATCAATTGAGGATAAATTCCAGTCTATACCAGCTGGCTCGAGTTCCTTTGACCAATTCAAAAACACTTTCAAGTAATTTATTGAGTAGTACAAATATAATGCGGACCTGCACTAGTATCTTTAACAGACTAAGAACTAAATCAGGCAAAGAGCTACTGTTAATGCAAGCAGGGGGTTGTCTCCTTTAGTTGTTTTGTCTGAAGAGAAAAGCTCTACTCACATTTTTCATCAGTATAGCTATATGCCCTGCTGGCACATTGTACAGGCAGCAAAAACAATAGGACCACTTTTTCCAATTGCTTTTCTCCATGTTCAAAGCAAGACAAGCAGCTGATATAGCTGAACTGATATCAATACCTTAAAGCAAAAGTACTGATGCACTATGGGTAGCTCAATCCATCCATAAAAAACAGGTATTCCATGATGTCCAAACTAGAGGCCATCATGGACAACTCATCCCATCCCCTCTATGACAGGCTTGCAGGAATGAAGAGCACGTTCAGCAATAGACTGATTCATCCACGGTGCGACAGGGAGCGCTACAGGAGGTCATTCTTGCCGTCTGCCATAAGACTGTACAAGGCATCCACCGTGCGTCTTGGCAGAGGCAACAGCGACAGTGACCTGTTTCTGGACTGAACACATCTACTGCTACTGAATCTGTTCTTTTTCTTTTTCTTTTTCCCCGTTTACAACCACTTTTGTGCAATATATGCCAGGGACCTGTGCAATACATTTATATTTATATCTATGGTTACATCTATACTTATATTCATACGTGTGATACGATTTTCTGTGTACTGTTCTGTTCTAGTTTCCTCTTGTGTGTCCGGACTGTGAGTAACTCTTGTATTGTATTGTATGTATTGTACTATTAGTATATAATTCGTTACACTGTGGCTGTGTTGTGTGTGTTAAGCTGCTGTTGCACTGCAATTTCCCTCACGGGATCAATAAAGTATCTATCTATTCAAAATTCTTCACCAAAAATAAGGATCTCAAATTGACCCTACAGTCATTATTCTATTCATATTTCAGGAAAAAAGAAAAACTCCTTAAATGCGGCAACAAATGGTGGTAGATAACAGCAAACAAGCTCCCAGATACTCCACAGGAGCAATGTTCTCAGCACCATTCCAGGAATGGGTGCAAGTCCCTCAAAAACTAATTTCAGACTCCAAACTGTCATCCCAGTAAAGGCTTTAATAATGACGGGCCACCAGCCTTGGAAGTATTTTAGCAGTTACCAAGTGACACAAACTGTCACAGGCACTTCGGTACGATGAGTACACACAACCACCAGCAGCTGAAGGAATCGAGTCGCCCAGTAATAGGAACTCTTGATTAAGATGTAGCCAAATATGATGCACATCCTACAAGTAGGCTGTGTCGAAGGACCAGAAATTTCTCATGACTATTACAGGAAAAATACTTGTGATGACCGTTTTGCAGGACTCAACCTAATAAAGAGCCCATAGGATTTATAGGGGAGCAATATCCATCTGACTAAACCGTGTAGGCAGGCCAGGAGGAGGCACACGAAGACTGGGGAGTTCAGCTCCAACTCCCAAGCTGCTCAAGTCCCCATTTATGGCAGCCGCACAAAATCACTGCATCTCCTGCATCACTTAATATTCTCCCTGCATTATTATTTTTCCACTACAGAGGTCTCAAGATCGGTCTGTGGTTTCTTGGGCACATAGATACAAAAGTAAAATCCAAGCCTACCGGACTGGCTCTGCGTGATTTCGTCAACCTGCAGTCGATGTTCACTCCAGTCTGCTGTGCATCTGGGCCCAAACTACCATGTTTGCACAACTAAATATAACTAACAAGTAATAGGTTTATTCCATGATGAAAAAAAGAAGAAAGAGGACACAACGTTTTGGCTGTGAAGCCTTCGAGCCCACACCTGAAGAAGGCTCCACGGCCAAAACGTTGTGTCCTCTTTCTTCTTTTTAACAGCATGGAATAAACCTATTACTTGTTCATTTGCAGCCTACACATGCCGACGTAGCTACCCACCTAAATATAACTAAACTTGTTCCTATGTTTGCAGAAGTGTTTCCTACACTTTGCAAATGCCACACCAAGCGACTTCGGCACTTCACTCGCATTGCTGTGTATTGTTCTTGGATTAAGGAACAGTTGCGTCTGTTTTCATCTGTGAAGTGAACAGGAACATTTGCAACACAGCGATGAGGCAAAAACAACTGTTTTACGAAACTGCTGAAGCGACGCGATCCATTTAATGATACTTTAATAGCTCCAATACTAGCAGCAACAGATGTTCTAACAATCTAGGCAGAGCAAATTCCTGCTACAACTGTTGTCATGGAGCAAACATGGGTGGGGGGGAGGATTAAGCATTTATCAGAGCTTTAAAGTTTTTAGATTTACAAAATCACTACCTAGGTCCTATGACATAACATGTGTGCATATATGGCGCTTTCACACACAAATCTCGATGGTGAGTCACGTCAAGAGAATCAGTGCACAGATGGGCAAGAATGGAGATGGACAGCATGGTCACTGGTACCTTGATCACTGGGCTCCAGCTCAGACTTCCTGACGGTGAGGTCCAGTGGGGAGTCCTGGTCAGCCATGAGAAGCTTGCTGAGAACGGGGTTCTGTGCAGAGGCAGCAGCAGCAGCAGGAGAAGGAGGAGGAGGGGGAGCGAGCGCGGGTGCTTTCGGCAGGCTTTGGTCCTTAGTGCCGTTGGGCTGGATGGGGTCCTGAGAAGAACTGTTTTTTGAGGTATATTCAGCAGCGAACTGGCGGATCATTCGCTGCATTATCTCGCGAGCCACTAGAGGAATGTGGGGGTCGGAGACCCGAGGGATATCTGCTGCAGAGACAAAAAAAAATCCAACTGGATTTTACTGCACACGAAAACAGAAGGGCAACAAACCGACAAAGAAAATGGCCGAAGTGATTGACCAAGATCTCATCTTGTATCTATAATAATACCAATCACTACAATTCTGAGAAATGCTGTCCAATAACTATGGAGGTCCAAACACTAAGTGTTTTTTTCTTTCAAGAAATATCACAAATACCTTTCTTTTAGCTACTGCCAGCTGCTAAGCGTATCCCTGGAAACACTGGTGTGATAGTACAGGGCACACAGTTAAATAATCAATGAATATTTAAGATTTATAAATTAAATGAATGGGAGTTAGCATACATTCAAGTTTCAACGTACCAAATAGAAAGAACAGCAGAGAAAAATCAGGTTTAAAGCACTAGAGGGTACCGCAGTGCTTTTCATATAATATGGAAAAGAATTTCAAAATATATTCAGCTGGAAAATGAAAAGGTACATTGTAAACTGTAATCCTTCAAATACTGAAGGAGATGGAAATCCTGCAAAAGTAATTTAAATCCAAAGCACGTTTTTTTTTGTAGCACAGTTGCTGATATTAACTGCACATATGGAGCACAGGGAAAACTATCCTTCATGCTGTCTGATCTTCTGAAGAAGAGAGACGACTTCTGTACCTAAATCCTTCCAGATCAAACAACCTAACAGGCAAATCGCCCTACTAATGAAAGATCAAAATAATAATACACATCCATCCTTTCTCTAAGCACTTTATTAATTACTGGGGTGCAGCAAAGCTAAAGCTATTCCAGAAGCAGTGGGCAAAAGGCAGGATAGACCCTGGATGGGACACCAGCCCATCAGAGTGCACAGACACACAGGGCCACTTTTCCCAGGAGTTATTCTAGGACTGAGGGAGAAAACACAGAGTATCTGGAGGAAAGCCACACCAATGGGGGGAATATATATATATATAGTGCTCCAGGGCCTCGGCAATGCTAACCACTGCGTCACAAGGCTACCCAATTATGGCTATTTAGAACAAGGATTCCTGTCTTTCTAATGGGTGGAACTGGGATTGACTGGAGCTGGTCGTGGGTGTCCTGGAATCTATGTCCGTCTCTAATGACCACAATGTTGCAGACAGTAGCTGGCTCTACAACCAAAAACAGATTTAAGATATAAAAGCATTACATGGGGCATGTCCAAATGCAGACAGAGCTCTACAATCCAGATGACTTTGGTTTGAGCCCACTGGCATTGCTATCATCACAAGCATCCTGGGCAGGTCACTGACATAAATCTCGGTATATAATAGAGAATGATAGTCATTTCGATATTCATTTCGCTTCCTTACCTTTTCTGTAAAAGACAGCATTAAGGAATTCTTCTGCTTGCCGCTCGAGCCTGTTTATTTTGGACTGTTCCTGGTTGCACAGGGCTCTCTCCCCAACTTCCAAGACTTGGTCATTTAAGCCAACTAAATGTTCCTGTTAAAAAATAAATAAGCGTTAGGAGTAGTGTCCTAAATGAAAGATGTCCAACTCTGCAATGTTTATACAATTATTCAAATTGCCGACAGTACCCCATTCCTGACAGGCAAATGCACAGCTACTTCCATTGAAATGTTTAAGCATAAAAGGTGAATATTGATAAAACTGCATTTACAAAAAGTACAAATATTTTAGCAGCTCTATTAACGCACAAAGTTCTAGGACCAATAAGGGGATGTTCCAGCCACTCATCGTTACTCAAATCTTCTCCATTGGTAAATGTAATTCTACCACACCTGCCAAGCATGTTAAAAATAAATAAGATCATATAAATGGACTCAAACTTTTTCAGAACATACTAGGGCTGGGCGATATGGCCAAAAACATTATCACGGTAAAAATTTTCATATCAGTCGATATCGATAATTATCACGATAAATGTCAAATCATTATTTCTTTCAAGTTTAATGGCAGATTTTTTCTCCTAAGTGAAAGCTGAAGAAACCAGACAGTTAATTGGTAAATTAAACAACTGTTTATTTTAAGAACACAACAAACACTTGCCAAACAGCAGAAACATTAAACAAATCTGAGGTAGAGAGTATTCAAGTCTTTTTTATGTCAAAATATGCATGAGTAAAATTTACAAAATAAATATCTTAATAGAAAAATGAAATACTACAGTGTGATAAAACACACATAGAAGATGGCTAAGACAGACTGCAATGTTTAAAGTGCTCTGTTTTATGTCTGATCATAAAAGCCAAAATATCTCCAAATTACCGAAGCTGAATGACCTTTGCTGTCGACGATGTCATTGTCCTTCGAGCTGGTCGTCGGCAGCACTACATTTGCTTCAGTGTCGCTCATTTCTCCACTCTAACTACAGTCCTGTCAGCCACCACCGTGTGGGTAAACAACACCACGTTAGCTGCCCAGTCTGCAACACGCAGGCGCACTCGCACAGTATTTTGTGCAAAGCAAAAAACATGTATATCAAACATTTATCGAACTTTTGTTAAAAATATATCGTGGAAAATTATATCGCGATAATTATCGTTATCAAATTATTGCCCAGCACTAGAACATACTTAACTTTTTCAAAACCTTTTCTGGCAATAAATGTTAATTGAGTATTTGTAGACCTAGGCAGATGTGCCATGTCAGTAGTGGGCACTGCAAACCTTTTACTACTACTGAGACTCTGTAGTAATGAAGTCTCTGTAGATATTTCTTCCATTAGACCAGAACAATGGGCTCTGCAGTTTGATTCTATGCAAATTAACTCCCACATTCAGATACTCGATAAGACTGGGATCAGCATGAAATTCCCTCAGCCTTTTCCATGTTCTAGTCTTTCTCCTTCAGAGACCCATCGAGTACGCACACATCAATGCTGAAGGAGGCAGCTCAGGAACATGACGAAGTGTAAATCGCCTGGCACTGATGGTATCCCTCTTGAAATTTGGATTACTGTTTGGCCCCAATTAATCTCCCTTCTGCTCAAAACTGATCAATACCTCAATTATATCCCTGATATGGAAAAGAACTCCCTCACTTTGTGAGAATTGTTGCCTCCAATTCTTTGATTTACTCCAATACCCAGCTGTATGCTCTAGTGCCATTAAGCCAGCTGGAGACGAATATGGTCACATTATTTAAAGATGACAGGCACCATTAAAGGACATCCTGTACACTGATACCATTCTGACTTTTCAGCAATTGTGTTGACATACTGTGTGCTACAGTTGTATGTAAAACTTTGGGCACCCCTGGCTAAATTACATTTTGTTGATTTTGTAAGTGAAAGGAAGTTAACACAACCTCTGCAGCGAACAAACTTCAACTTGACATATTTCTGCAAAATTGAATGCACAGTTACCATCTATTTTCTGAACTCAACAGATTGAAAAAAAAAATAGTAATTGTGGCATGTGCAAAAGTATGGGCACCCTATCAGTCAGTACCTAGTAACGCCCCCTTTGGCAGAAATCACAGCCTCCAAACGTTTCTTATAGCCAGCTAACAGTCTTTCTATTCTTGCTTTAGGAATCCCCCCCCACTCTTCCTTGCTGAATGCTTCTAGCTCAGAAATACTCTTAGGTCATCTTGCATGCACTGCACGTATGAGATCCACGCACAGATTTTCAATAATATTCAAGTCTGGGGACTGTGAAGGCCATTCCAAAACCTTAATCTTTCGTTTCCTGAAGTAGTTCATGGTTGATTTTGAGGTATGTTTTGGATTATTGTCTTGTTGTAATATCTAATCTTTTCAGCTGCAGTTTCTTCATTGACTTTGGGAAATTCCAGAACTGGTTGATATTTACTACAATCCATTTTTCCTCTCCTTTTATTCTACAAACATACCTTTGATGATTGTAGCCAAAGAGCTCAATTTTTACTTCATTAGACCAAAACGCCTCTGGCTTACTTAAGTGTTGTATTCCAAATTTCAGATGTTGACTTTTGTGATGAGATTGCAGGTAATGTTTCCTTCTGATGACTTATCCATGCAGATCATGTTTGTGGAAGCAACGCTGCACACTGGACCAGTGCACCACTACTCCTGTGCCAGCTAAACCTTCCTGCAGGTCCTTTGCAGTGATATGGGGGTTTTGCTTTGCATTCCTGACAAGTCTACAAGCAGCTCTATCGGAGATTTTTCTTGGTTTTAGAGGAGCCCATGGTTGTTGAGTGCAAGCAAAACACCCTGAGAGGTTCAAAGAGTCAGAGAATTTATGAAGCTGTGGAACTGTCATCACCTGACAAATAACACTAGTGGATCAATTGGAAGGGTGCCCAAACTTTTGCACATGCCACATTTAAATGTTTTATTTTGTTCCAATCTGTGAAATTTAACAAGTAAACAGTAAGTGTGCATTACTATTTACAGAAAAGTCAAGTTTAAGTCTGTTCACTGCAGAGGTTGTGTTAACTTGTTTCCACTTAGAAAATCTACAAAACATGTCATGTGGCCAGGGATGCTCAAACTTTTGCATACAATTTTACTTCTAGGAGTCAACTAACCTGTTTGCCCTGTAGCTGGAACCACTAACTCCAACTCCCTGTCAATCTACTAACCCTACTGCAGTTAACAATACTCAGCTCCTTGGACACTCTATTCTGCTGCTATTTTATATGAAGACCATTGTTCAACCCTCAATGGAGAAGGACAGCTTTCCTCCAACTTTGCCTCCTTCACATGTTATCACAAATGTCAACTATAAACATTTTTAAACTGCTCTGTAGTGTGCAGAATTATTTTTAGTCCACACTTATGACAGTTTCCTCCAGTTTTGCCTTAGGCTGCCTTTCTTTCTTTACCACAGAGACTTGGCTGGCTCTTGTGTCTTTGTCCATTTTGGAAATGTGCCCAAATGACTGAAAACTTACATCCAGCTATTCCTGACTGTCGTTAACTTTTTTTAGATAGATCCCTTATTGATCCTGTGAGGGAAACTGCAGAAATTGCAGTGCGTTTTTAGCAGTGTAGCCGAGAGAAAACTCCATTATAATTTGAGTTTCGGGCTTATACTGCAGCCTTATATACTCTCACCAGTCTTGTTTGTACTCATTATCACAGCTGCCTGGGCAACCTGTGTCTTCTACAGCTTCAATGCTCTTTCTATCCACTGTCAAGCTAGGTGGGCTGCCCAAAAATCAGCATTTGTGTTTTGTTTGGCGGCAGCAACTTTCACATGAGCTGTATTATTCCTCCCCATGTCGTGTCCAGCAACACCACCTGCAAATTCAAGGCCAGACAGTCGTTCCGTTAACCTACTTCAGCACTACATTCATTTTCTCTGTTGCCCTTCTCATCGCCCACTCAATGACTAGCACAAGCACCCGGGAGGGAGAGAACATACAGAAGACACTGCAAGTGCAGTTGAAGTAATTACAAGATTCTCAGTAAAGGTATCTGCATCACTATATTGGTGATCATTGTAGCCCAGTGAGCTTTAGCTCGTCTGGCAGCCTTTTAATAAAACTTGAACGCTATATTAATTAAAGGAAAAGTACAAGATTTTGGGTGGAAGAATAATCATTTAATGTGAACTAGTTTTAGCAGTCTGGTGGTTTTTATTCATTCTCAGCCCTTACTGACTTAATGGAACTAAGAGGACAGGTCAAAAGGGCTTTTTCATGTCTTAGCAAGGTGCTTATTGAAAGGTATCTCTAAAACCTGCAGGATTTTAGCGCACAATGATTGGCGTCACCTACTCTTGGGTTAATGGGCAGTCAACCTGCAGAGTAGTAGACTTTTTTTAAGCCATTTAGTAATTTCACAACAATTTACAGAAATTAAATGACTATGTCCACCCTGACAGACACTGAAACTGCAGAAACTCAACATGCACTTTACTGCAATCACTAACACTCCAATTCTAAATGATTTTAAGTTAAAGTATGATACAACAGAGCCACGCACAGTTGTAGAAGACATGAATGTCCCATTTTGAAACCCCTTGACGCCTCCCCAGCATGAGGTAAGAAAATGTGGTGATCCATGTTTGGCAATTACCATGCATGTGCACATAAGATTTGAACACTAAGTTCAACTCTATAATTAAACACAAAGTTAAATATACCTTTTTAAAGGGCTGTCCAACTATTAACCAAAAGAGTAGAAGACTATAAAAGAACTTGGTATACTACCAACAGCCTAGATGAACCAAATTTGGTTGACGAACTTTCTCCTCGAATTGCCTTTTTGTGTTTGTCTGAGTCAATATCAGCTTGCAAGTCAAGTACACCTTCCTTTATTTGCATGGAGACAAAAGTACCAGGCTTACACACCAAACATTCAGCTTCCCAGTCTTCTCTGCCACTTCGAAAACAGACATTCATTTTTTAGTTCTGCTGTGAATTTACACTTTCGCTTTGGGATTACGTTTGAGGGTAGGAAAATGAGATACAAAATAGGGAGCCTTGGGGGGAGTGTGCTCACGCACTGCACAGACTGTGTAAGGACTCTGATATTGACGCCCGATTTC